ATCTACACCAACACCAGCTCCGACACTAACACCAGACTTCAATCCAAGACCAGCGCCTACTCCGACCCCGCCTTTCAAGCCGAGATCAGTATTTACACCTAGACCGACACCTCCACCAAGACCAGCTTTCAAATCAAGGCCAGCGTCTACACCAAGACCAGTTTTGACACCAAGACCAGTTTTGACACCAAGACCAGTACTGACACCAAGACCGGCTTTCACGCCGAGACCAGCATCAACGCCACCACTGAGTTTAACACCAACATCCGCACCTACATTTACATCAGTTTTCACACCAAGTCCGGCGCCCCCAGCAAGACCAGCTTTGACATTAAGATCAGCTTTGACACCAAGACCAGTAGTAACACCGAGCCCGGCATCTGCACCAACACCAGCGCTTACACCACCTCCAGCTTTCACAACTAGACCTGCGCCTGCTCCTCCATCAACTTTCACTCCGTTGTATATCATTTCACAATCGTTCGCATTCGCACCAGCAGTATGAATAGTGAAGCCGGAAAGCGCGACAGCTACTGCCAACATTCTAACGTAATAGTTGCAAGAAAGCATGGTACGAATGGGACTGGAAGAAGGAGTCAGAAGGACTAGAAAGGACTCGGATGATTGAGTGCAAATTTTAAAATGAAGTCGTAGATGTTAAGCCAATGCAACATTCCAAAGATTTTTGATCCATGTGCTTTGAGCGGTACAGGAATAAGTCCTGTATCGAAAAAGACACATAAGATTTTAAACCTGATCTTATCCAAATTTGAATTGATTTGTTATTGTTGTATTGGTTACTGTGAAGAAGAACGTAGCATTTTCTGTTCGTATTCATTACTCTTTTGGAAAAGCTCCAACCTCTTATTACTTGCATGGGTGCCACATTGACACGATTCGCTCGACTCTATATGCTAAATATCATTTCACCAATCCCTTATCACAGGAAATGCATCCAAAGCTTGTAGCTCCTGAAGGTCTATGGTTGCGACTTTCAAACATGTGGGTTTATGATTGTGGCCCAAAGTGATCAGAGCCAGCATATGCCAATTCATACAATATTTGAGTACTGTGTGGTAATAAATGGCCTTGGACCAGATATCTAGATGACCCTCACCGAGACTATAATAGCTGCAACTTCTCTCAATAGTGTGGTTCTCGAGGAAAGTAGAGCCAAAGAAGGTCCCTCGTGCATATTAGGCTTAAATTCTTATATCTCACATAAAAACTTTGCTTAGCTTTACTAACGTCGTATTCATGTGTGTAAGCGGTAGCAAATTACAAAGCTGACAATAGCAGTCAATTTTGAGAAAGTCAACAGCTATCTCGGACAAATGGAATATAATCATTGAACCCGCTGCGTATATGTGGACGGTGAAGCCGAAAAACGCCGATAATAAATGTTGCTCGTATTTTGTAAGTTCTTTTCTGTCTGTAGCCAAATACTGGCCTGTCAAAAATCTCACCGCAAGTTCTATCAATACAAGCAATCAATTTCGGCGACATATAACTCGTGACGCCTTACCAAGATTCAGGCTCAGTTTACTACTTCAAAAAGTTTATTGTCTGTCACCTTGTCGTGCGCTATTTCTAAGTTGACAACTTCATGTTCAACGCTTCGTTCAGTCGATAAATGTTGTAACGAAACTTATCAACGTATTTTTATTCTTCGTTGTCACCGACGGAGTTAGCAAATGTAATTCATAATTCAACGTTCTAGATATAGCTCTGCAGCATCATTTTGGCCGACGGTAGAACAACCTAATGTCAATCGTTTTAGTGCAGCTGACCCTTCGTGAGAGTCTTTCGCCTTTCGTTTCAATCGGATAATCAAGGCGACGCAACAAGCTGCTATGTGCTATCATTCTCCTCAATTGTGTATTAATAACAGAATAGAGCCTTCGCTCAGATTTTCAAATTGCCAAACTTTCTGGGTCGCTTTACCTATTCCATAGCATGCAAGCGACTACGGTCTGAGTTGTTTGATTGCATAGTAGAGCTCAAAAAAAAAGAACTGGACATGTGACCGTCAGACACAATTCTGAAACACAAAAAATGCTGCTTTTTCAACGTATTTTCGCCTATGCCAATTCCATGCATCCAATCTTTAGACCTTGCACAAGCTCCAAACACAAATTTGGGTTTCAACTTTTCGGAGATATTGATATAATCCAAACACGCACATAATGCTAATACTTGGTTCATTTATTTTAACATACATCTCGATAATATTAGAATCGGTATTGATCAGATACTTACGCAAAATGCAGCAAACACCTTGATGAATTCTCGATGATTCGAGCATTTAGATGGCTTGCATCTGACTACATTGAGCATATGATCGAATTTATGCCAAATCCTGTTTTGCATATTAGTTTATGAATGTAAATCTCAGTTTAAAGTAATAGAAAATAACAGCTTGTAATGTTGATTTTGGCGCCGAATCCAACAAATAATTTAAATGGAAGAGTTCAGTCGCGAGACTCCACTGTTTGATCGGCGCTTTCACGTGCTTGTGCAGTACCCAGACCGCGATGAGAAGCTACAGCCACTTACGATTCGTCTCCTTACTGGTACACGTGTACGTACTCGGTCTCTTGCACAATCTTCTCGTTTTTCACTGTGTTTTATTACTATAGCAGAACAATGCCAAAAACCAAAAAGAGCGAGTGATGCGTGTCGAAATCACAGATGACGATGGTGTTGATCCTTATTTTTTATACCTTTGGAGCGTCTCTGAGGAGGAATTTCATGAATTAAAGGCACAACAACGATTACTTGTGGACTTTGCGACGTTTCCAGCTAACCTCATTGAGCTATTACATTGCTGTCTTAAAGATAGCAAGAAAATGGCACAAGAAGACGAAGAAAAGCAGCAAAACACTGATAATTTGACCGATTTGGACGGCGCTAGTGAGAAGATTCCACTTGATGCACAATTTAGCCGATCTACTGGACCTGTTCCTTTGAGGTAAGCGTGGAATCTCGACGTTTTTAAGAATTTTCAACTATTAATGATGTTGGGGGTAATTTGATAGTTATTTAGCAGTACTCAACACTTTGGATAGCAACGGACTATCGATGTTTAGCATTGTGGAGACGAATCCATTCAAGCAGTTGACCCATTTATCTTTAAGATTCAGCCCAGGGAATGATGCTGCTATTAAGGCGTATCTTGCGGCGAGATTGGCTCAAGTGGAAGCAAGTCGAAAAGTTGCGGTAGCGTCTTTAAAGCAAACAAGCGATGCTTTGAGAAAATCCCAGATGAGCGAGACAAAGCTGCAGGATCAATTGTCGGTATTGAAATACGACGCCGAGTCGACACTATCACAGGAAAAAATGAGGTTTGCAGACGAGCTCGAACAGCAACGCAGAGCAGCGGCAAGAGCATTGAAAGAGCGCGAAGACGAACTCAACGCTAAAATCGAAGCATTGGTGGGAAGATACGAAAAAGAAGTAGGTTTTGTTGGTAGTTTATCTAATTACAATGTTTTGAAGGCTAATTTCAACTTAAGCTTCAAAATATAAAAGCTACCGCAGAGGCGAGTGACGCTCAAGTGCAAGATTTAAGCAAGTTAAAATATCAGCATGAAATGCAGATTGATCACTTTCAAGCACAAGTACAAGACCTGAGCCAGAATCGGTGTGCACAATTAAAAGAACTAGAGGAATTACGTACGCAGAACAAAGAGGTGGACAAAAAATTATTTCAACAGGAAAAACAGATGAATGCTTTGCAAGTACGTATTGATGCTTTGCAGCAACAACTTGCGGACAAGGAGGAAGTGATCAAAAAGACAACAGATTTGCTACAGTCTGCAAAATGTCATAATGAAGAAGTGGACGAATCACTGAAAATGTACCGAGATAATCATGCGAAACTTCAGCAAAAGCTAGAGATAAGTATCTCCGAAATCAACAAGGTACGAAATATGATTACACAGATAGACAAAAAGTGCTGATTATTGTTTAGGGAAACGATATCATTGAACGGATACAAAATGAAAATCGTTCGCTGAGGTCCAAGATGCGGATGAAAGCTAAAATTATCAAACAGCAAGAACAGGTAAGAGGGAAGTATCCTTCATTTACGCTCGTAATAATGGTGTGTTGTTTAGATAATCGACGAAAAGCAGCTTCAGCGTGAGGAAGCATTGCTAGAGTTAAAATCGATTAAAGAAGATCTTCGAAAGCGAGAAGAACACATCTTAAATCTCAAGGTTCGTACACTTTTCAAATGGTTGTAGCAATACGGTTTTGATTGTTATGTCATGTGACAGGACACAATAAAAGAGCTAAGTCAAAAATTGGAAGATAGCAATAAACTTCTTGCATCGAATCAACAAGGTACACCATTTAAGAAACTTGTGCCGGAGTCTGTATTCTTCTTAATTGCAATTATCAATATCATGCTCCATGTGCAGTGATTACCTGGCTAAACAAAGAAATCAATGAAGCACAACTTGGTCATCAACGAAGATCAAATGCCCACCCTTCAGTTCTTACCTATCGTCCGTCTGATAACGTCTTATCGAAACCAAGAGACCCGCTAATTTAAATGTAGACTCTCTTACTTAACATTTCTTGTCTTGGCAATATTTCGTTCGTGAAAATTGTGGATTCCCAGAACACACAAATGCTCCACTTAAACTTCATTCTTCCTAAAGCTTTAAACCATCTTGCTAAATCACGAGTCCTCCATCAATACGTATGCATTGTCCAGTAATATACGACGACTCATCACTTGCTAGGAACGTTACAAGTTGAGCTACCTCATCTGCCTTCCCAAATCGAGCCAATGGTATTTTGTCCAAAACACGCTCGCGTGCAGCACTCGTCATAGCATTCGTCATATCGGTCATTATAAAACCTGGCTCAACTAAATTTACTCGAATGTTACGGTTGCCTAATTCCTTGGCCAATGTCTTAGTGACGCCCACAAGTCCTGACTTGGCTGCACTATACGCGACCTGTCCAACATTCCCTGCTGCACCCACGACACTGCCAATATTGATAATACTACCTTTACGACGTTGTATCATTCCTTTCGCTACCGCTTTACACATATGCACGGGTCCTACAAGATTTGTGAGCAGCAAATCATCGAGCTCATTATTGCTAAGTCGCAAGAGCAAATTATCCCTTGAATTGCCTGCAGCATTGATGAGAGCTGATGGACTAGCACCAAATTCATTTGTTACTCTTGCCACAAGCTGGACAGCTTCGACACTGGCGTCTCCTTCGTCACGCCGTGGACATGAATACGCCAGTGGCAATACAGTTGCAGAAATCTTCTGCGCCGCTGCTTGAGCTCGCTCGATAGTACGAGAAGTAAGAGCGACCTGCCAACCACGCTGATGAAGCTGCTGAGCCACAGCAAAGCCAATACCACGGCTACCTCCAGTTACTAGTGCCACACCAGTTCGATTCATGTCCTTGTGCAGTTCATTTCATGGTGTGGTTTCTAATATACCACACCAGCAAACACTTTCTCTCGGATTTCGGTGTGTGAGGCTTTATTCTTTTTTTTGGTGCGAGATTGACTTGTCACCATGTAAGTATAGACATGATACATTCTGCATAGTCGAGTCACTTAAATAGATCGCAATACTTCTGCCTCTCCCACCAGACTATAGAATCTATTCAAGACATTTCGTAGCAGTAAATATTGATAGAAAGAAAAATTCTTACAAAGTACAAGATAATGAAGGTATTATCTAACGAGACATGTCGTGAAGCAAAGAGCAATAGAGCTTTTTCAACATCTGATTCGGAGGTCATCATGCGAGACGCAGACTAGATTTTAAGGGGGGCAGCCATTCATAGAAAAAGCAGTGATTTGCAAGTATCAATTATTACTAATGAAAGAATTATGGGGCGATGAACATACACGATGGCGATGGGCAGTCGATCGAGTTTCCTGTGTAAGTAAGCTTTCCAGTCTCGCTATCGGCACGGAAGACATCGATGCTGTTGGAATCCTGGTTGAGCGCTAAGACAAAGTCCTTGTACAAATGAATATCGCGGGGTGTCTCACCTCGTGTGTGAAGAATCTCAACTAACTCCAGACGTGTATCGGGCAAGATTTTGTAGATGGTGATGCTGTTACAGAAGCGTGTGGCCGCATATACAAACTTATTGTTGCCAGAGATGTGAATGTCTGACGCTAGTGCAGATGGACCCGAGTAGTCCAAAGGTAGCGTGGAGATGTGCTGAATTGCTACGTGACTTAACTTTCCGGTCTTAACGTCCAGTGGGTACACACTGACGGTATTGCTGAGCTCGTTGATGACGTAGCCCACACCAAGCATCATCGAGAGTGCAAAGTGACGTGGCCCTGAGCCAGGTGGGCATGAAATGAACTCCTCATCAATCAAGTTCTTTGCAGCGACATCCAATTTGTACTGCACGAGACGATCAGTACCTAAGTCAGCAGCAACGAGTCCATTCGATGTCCATGCTGTGCTATGAATATGTGAAGTTTCTTGGCGATCTGGAATAACCATGCTGGCGCCTTGAAAGTGGTGGTAATCTGAAGCTGGACTCAGTGAACCATCCGCGTTCACAGGATACAGTGCAAGACTACCGCCATTATAGTTAGAGACGGAAAGAAAGTCACCGTTGGGACTTAGCGCAACGTGGCACGTGTACGGCCCATGGGTCTCGTGACGACTAATTTGCGTTAGTTTACCATCTTTCTCCATTTTGTAGGCAGATACAAACCCTGTCTCTTCTCCTGGTCGCGTTAGTGACAGTTCGTTGCTTTCATTCACAGCATAAAGTATCGTATTGGTGCCGCAGACATAGGACGGATTAATACCTGCCTTTTCCATAACATTTAATAACTTTAAAGCACCCGTGATCTCATTGAACGAGTATGCGTGGAGGCCTTTAGCGTGGCCATCCACATGACCTTCCTTTCGTGTGTAAGTACCTACGTAAAGGGTCGGCATCCAGTATGAATCTGGGCGAAGATCGTGAAGCACTGACGCTGATTGAAATCTGTTGCAATTGGCCGAAATAAAATGTTCACTGCCAACTTCACATGACGTTGGACATACATAATTCAAAAAGTTCTTGCTTCCACGTCATGGAGGCTACGGCCGGATGCAGATCATGGCCAGCTCCATTTTTGGACCGCCGAGACTTTGCATCGTGGGAAGATTTCTGTGCATACATTGAAGAATATGAAAGACATACGCATCAGGTGCGTCTTTCTTGTAAAGAGCTTATGTCTTGTTCGGTGCTTAGCAATGGGTTGTTTGCAGTCATTTTATCAACAAAGTCATACATCCGTGAAGACACGCAACCAGGTGCTAGCATCATTTGCGGCCATCGGTCAACCACTTCCCACTCATCTTTTACCCGAAAGGTTTCAAGACTATATGAGAGTTCTACAGTGTGCACATAAAATTCGAGAGGGGGAGGCACGACTCCATACGCATTGGAATGAAGAAGGGCCAGCTGAGTGCCAAGCTAAAGTACGCTACAATTGCTCTCAAAGTGTAGTCAATAGGCATATTAATTGAATTCATTATGACTGCTATGAGCGTAGATAAGTGCGACGCTGCAGCTTGTTGAGAACGGAAACTATCGTGTTCGTGTCACAAAAATGAATTTACATCACAATCATCCGATCACTAGAACGGCGACTTCTGCACCTGCAGCTCCTCCTCAGTCGAATGCAGTCGTGTACGAGATGCCTTCGGCAAAAAGGCAGCGTATGGATCACTCTCGATCGTATTTGGAGTCTGATGATTCCAGACATTCGACACAATCGAGTCTAGATAAACCTCACGTACCGACGATGGCAGACATGCGAACGTTTCTACAGCACGTTAAAATGCGTGTAGACCAGCGCAATAGCCTGCAGTCAGTGGAAGAACGTTTGTTTACGTATGTTAATGAGTTTGCCGCAATAAATGGCAATGCGGCCCGAATCTTCATTGACGATGAGGTGCGAGTTGGTTTTTCCAAAGCAGCTACTGCAATGCTACCTCATAAGCTAATCTGTACATGCTTTTTTGCTCCTGTAACTTCATGCAGAAGGTTTTATCCAGTATCACGCTTCAAACGGAGCACATGCGCAAAGTATTCGAGGCATTTCCAGAAGTGCTACGTGTAGATATTATGCCTCAAACGACGGATAATGAAGCCAATACAAACCATAGCATGTTCTCGCTTATGGCGCACGACGTGCTTGGCAGATGGCAGTACGTACAACATGCTATTGTGGAAAGCGACCGAACCGAGATTCTTCAAACTGTTCTTGATCAATTCAAAGAAAACAATGCACTTCATGTACGCGTACGCGCCTTAATTGTACCAAGTGTAACCTCACCGATTCTAAATCAGTTACTATTGAGCTTTCCAAACGCTCGTGTGTTATACACACAGTTTCACGTCCTACGTGAGCTTCATAAGGCGATTGCAGATCATGGACAAGATTTGACTTCATGGCACCGAGACCGTCTTACGAGTATCACTCAGGCACTGGTTTACGCGCCCACTGCACTCGTTTACGACGCAGAGGTTGCTACAATGGCTGACGTGCTCGGGTCAAAGCATCATCCATTCTATCGCTATTTTCTTATGGTCTGGGACACGTGTCGCGATTGTTGGACAACGTTTGCTCGTCAAGATGTGACAACTTTTACCATCTCAGAAATTGACGGTCAGTTTGCTTCTACTTGGAAAGAGATTTTTGCTGCAGTGAACGATGACATGGCTTTGGATGAGACGGTAATGGCGATTCGGTACTTTCAGTCAATAGTAGAGCGTACTTTTATGCGTGACTTGAAGTCAGAAGTGTCTAATTCGAGTCGGGCTGCTGTTCGAAGTGGTTGTGGTAATGAGGATTATGACGCGGAAATGCGACTTTTGGCTGCTGCAGTCAGTCCTTCCGTAAGTAGCTTGGTGTACCCACAGTACCGCTTTGCCATGTCAAGAGGCGTTTATCAATTTGCTGAGCCAACTCGCGGAAATTTCTTTGTATCCGCTGTCTCGCCCAATGGAGTTTTCTCTGACGAGCCAACAAAAGAATTCTTAGTTGTGACGAAAAAAGGATGGCAATGTTCATGTGCCTTTATGAAGAACCATCACTTGCCGTGTCGTCATGTCTTTTACATTCGTCGCATCATTCGCTGTAGCACTTTAGTCCCGATGGAGCACATTGAGCCTCGCTGGATACTTGCGATGGCCAAAACTTTTTTTGAATTGCCTTTTGACAGCAAATCACGTTTAGCTTTAGCTGATAGGATGGCTAAAAGCATGAAGAATGATGAAGATTCCCGCTCCGTAATTCCTCCACCGGGAGCGTGGCGTAACTTTATGGCAGCACAGGAAGTGGGGAAGCGCATTAGTCAGCGAATGATGGAAATGGATCCAGTCGAATTTGATCGTGCATTACGTTTTTACAAGCTCGTCGAGTCAACGTTGAATGTCCGTCCGTTTAACTTGAATGCCGGTGTAATAGCACGACTAAAAAGTCAGCCTGGAGGGATTCCAAGCACACCACCCGTCCGACCTCATTATGTCGAGCCAGAAACAACAAGAAGCTTAGCACCTCCCGGTGGTCTTCCCGATACATCAAATGAATCAAATTCTTCCACTGATTCTACGGTAATTACAGTGAGGAATATGCGGTTGGCACAATCTAGTAATCGCCCTGTCCCGAAATCGAAGCCGTTAGATGTGATAGATCTTCAAGACGATTCTGAGGATGAGAAGAATGACAAGAAAAAGTCTAACGGATGGAGACATCAAGGTTACGCTGTGGTGACGAAGATGATCCGAAGTCAAAGTACCCCAGAGACGAGTCGTATGAGTAATACGATGGCGACAACACAGACGAGACCAAACCATGTCGACTCAACAAAACGTGGGGAAAGAAGCCAGATAGGCTTGCAAGCGCCTGGTAGTGGCACTTCACCGTCGCTAGATCGACAACGTTATGGATCGTAATGATGAGATCCTTTACTTTGGAATTATAACAAAGTTAGGTGTAGTTACTGATTAATGAATCAATTTACAAATTCTATTTGGTCACCAATCAGATGTTGATCAACTTACAATTTGTGTAAGCACTGACTGCTCATGGCAGGTCGACGCGCAACCGCGGGACTAAGTAGCAGTTTGTACGCTGATTTTCTGGCTAATAATACGCGACTCAATGAACCTTTAGAACCTACAACTCGATCCTGTCACTCGCTTGAGATTAACACACTCACACCGAGTGGAACAGCTATTGGACTACAAACATGCGTGCTTGCATCGTTTTTTAAAGCTGCTGTGAAGCGTAATGTCGAGTCAGCGTTGGTCTGTGAAAGTCATTTCAATTCCATTTTAACCTCCAGTTTGCGTGTAAGTTCGTCGCGTCACTTAGCGTTGCAGGCTCATCTTCAAGCTAGCAAGAGCTTGCGCTTTACTTTAGAGGCGCAGGAGTCTGCTACAGAGAGAGCACCAGCATCTTTTGCACACATTGGAGCTGATTATAAGGCACAGAATTTTTTTGCTGGAGCTAAAATTGATGCAGTAAATGGACCAACATTGCAGGCGACAGTGGGAGGAAAGATGGGCGATTTCGCCCTTGGAGTCGTTGGGGCGTATGACGTTGGACTGGACCACAGCGATCGACTTGGAAGATTTACGACGCTCAATGTAGCTACAAGTTATACACACGAAGATCTACTCGCTCTGCTACAAATGTGAGTGATTTGATGATGATTCTACGTGGGTTTACAAACACTGATGAGACTTGTTAATGTCTGAATGCAGTAATGAAACTGGGCGGATGGTGCAGCTGGACTTGACACATACGCTGTCTGGTGCACTCATGGCAAGCTCAAGGTTTGTTTTGGACCAGAAAACAGACAGACGATCGCTTAGACTTTTGGGGAAGTACGCCATTAGTGAGACCGAGGCCGTAGCGAGCTCAATCGGCTCGGACGGCATTTTAATCGGAACCTATGAGTGGCGCACATCGAAGCATCTAAAAACGCGCGTGACGGCGCAAATGGACTTACGAAATTATGACAGTGACTCGCATCATCTTGGTGTGTCCATAGAGATCAGTTAAGTTTCAGGCTAGTATATAGAAAGAAGATGCTCATCTCGACTCAACACTGAACAAACGCAATCTCGTCAAGTTCATCTAAATTTACTTACTTTGCGTAAATGACAGTGTCGCGCTTGGAACGTGCAATGACATTTCCCTTTTCGTCTCGAGCACCAGGAGCGGCCTTAGTAGATGGATGATTCGCTAATTCAGTCGGCACCGGCATCTCGGTCGATACAAGATACTGTTTTAGGTCGTACATGATCTCTTCGTCGTCATCCGTGAGAAATGAGATGGCTACACCGTCTTTGCCAGCACGACCGGTACGACCAATACGATGCGAGTAGTTTTGGATCTTTGACGGTAAATCAAAGTTTATGACATGTGTCACATCTGGGATATCAAGACCACGTCCAGCAACATCTGTGGCTACTAGCATATCACAATAGCCTTCACGAAACATTCTAAGACTCTCTTCACGTTGATCCTGCGTTTTTCCACCATGCAATATCGTACAGCGAAATCCCTCGCTGGAAATGAATTTTGCCACTGAGTCGCACTCTTTTTTGATGTTGACAAACACAATAATTTTGGCTCCATCAACAATTTTTTCCTTGCGAGACCGAGGCATTGGCACATTCTGTGCACTCAGGATGTCACGCAATACTTCAACGAGCTTGGAGCGTTTTTTGCCTGAATTCATGAACATGATTCGCTGTTCGATACGCTTATTCTTGCCAGAGTCTTCATCACCTATCTTGACGATAGATGGGTGTCGCAGAAACGTCTTCGCCAGACGTTCCACTTCGACCGGCATCGTAGCACTAAACATAGTCGTGACTCGAAGACGATGCTGCAGCTCCTGATTTGGGTGAGCACCATTTGCCAGCATTAGCTGCTGTTCCATCTCTTCTTCGTTTTCTGATTTCAAAAGTGATCCCATATTTTCGAGTACAGCAACCACCTGTGGTTCAAATCCCATATCAATCATCCGATCTGCTTCATCCAGTACAACGTAGTTACACTGGTTGAGCACAAGATAGTGGCTCTCCAGGCAATCCATCAGACGACCAGGGGTACCAATAATAATTTCTACGCCCTCACGGAGGCGAAATCCTTGGTCTTCAATGCTCTGCCCACCAACCACTGACAAAGTTTTGATAGGACTCATTGACTCTGAGAGACCCACACTTGTGTACTTGCAGAGTTTGATGGCTTCCTGTTCAATCTGTAAGGCCAATTCTCGAGTAGGCGCCATAACAAGTGCCAACGGACCTTGTTCGCCAGTGCGTGCAACCATTGTGGCTGGCAGCGAATAGATGTAAGCGATGATGGGAATCACGAATGCTGCAGTTTTACCCGAACCTGTCTCGGCAATACCAATAATGTCGCGCTTCTGCAAACCAATAGGTATAGCCTGCATCTGGATTGGTGACGGTCGCTCAAAGCCCATTTCTTGTATAGACTTAAAAACGGCTTCAGGCAGCATGCTGCCAGCTTCACTCCACTTGCGTAGCGGATGAGGAGCACGTCCACCCTTCAGCGTGATATCAAAGTCTTCGCGAAAAATACGCCAGTCACGCTCTTTCATATCATCCAGGGACTTTTCCGACCAATGCATGCCCATTGTCTTTGCCTCGCGCGAAGCCATTTCTTGCATATGGCCTCGTTCACGAGCCTGCATGCTTCGTAGAGCACGCTCACGTTCCTGCTGTCTAGCCACAATCTGTTCACTAGTCAAGTTTCCATCCCTTTCATCTGCCATTTGCTGTTCCTTCTGGCGTTTGTGACTCAATTCTTCCAAAAACGAGTTTTTTTTTCGTTGCTCACGCATATCGACACCAGCACGGTATCCACGTCCATACAGCAGATTGACATTCATCCTTTGAGCATACAATGGATTCAGATCCGCGCTGGTATCTTCCGACGCCTCCCAATCAAACTGAAAAATCTTCGAGAATTTCTCACTAGCCTTAACCACTTTTTTTTTCTTTACCGTCTTGCCTAAGTATTGATCTTTTAGTGCTTGTAAAGCCTTTGATTCATTTGGATCCAGTAAAGCTAATTTTGTATCGTCTTTAGACGAAGATCCCGAGATGCGTCGGGTATCTCTTGAGCTGCCACCATCACGACGACGGTCGCCATTGGACCTCAGAGCTCGCTCGCGCTCTCTGTCACATTGCTGTTGTTGTAAGAATTTTCTCCGAGCATCTTCCGTCTCTTTTCGCTTTATGTCCATCTATCACACAAAAAAAATAATCTCGAAAAGTGTACTATCAACCAAATTAAAGACAGTTTACCTCTTGTCGCTTCTTCTCGAGTCGTTCAAGTGCTTCCTTTTGTCTCTGATCCTTTGATCGAAACTTGGGCAAAGAATTTGGTACTCCCATAGGTGTTGAGGATTCCTCGATCTTAAGCGGTAGCTTTCGCTCACTTATAGCCGCATGTTTCGACTTTGATGTGACTTGCTCTTCCTCTTTTGCTTGCTTTTTAGCAGCTCGCTCTTCTGCACGCTTGGCAATGGCAGCTATGCGCTCTGCTTCCTTTCGCTGTGCCTCATCGACTTGTACGCTTGAACGTTTGCTCGCTGAGCGCGAACGTGAGCGCGAGCGGTACCGCTTTCGATCGGGCATAAGATTATTTTTTGGTGTTTAAATACAATTTTGACATTATCAAATAAAATATTTTGAAGTTCGCGCTAGTACCAAGTCAGTGCTATCTTGCAAATTCACAGTTGAAGTGAAGGCATGCCTCTATAACCGACCTAAAGTGCGAGTACGATCGTGCAGATAAAGAAGCGATGCGACATACAGCGTAACGCCACTGAGATTTGTACATAATGAGACTATTTGCGGCGACCGGATTCAATGCCTGAGGTAGAGCTGAGAAGTTGATCGTAGATCATAACGTTCATTATGCCGATCCAAGTGTGAAAATGACAATGTTGAATATTCTAGCCGAGGGGTTGCCCAATCAATTATATCCGAGTTCAAAATGCTGAGACGTTGGTAGCGACGTTTTTGACGAAGTCGAGTCATTTCATTTGGGTGAAAAGAACTTTCCAGGACCCTCGAAATCACATATGGTGATCAATATAGATCATCTACGATCGATCGTTTAAAGTTTGTGTCACGGAAGGTAAGAGAAGAAAATATGCAGGTGTACGTGCCGGATAGCGCACAGCCTTACACTCTCGTCAACGGAATGACACGGCGACGTCAACTACGAGACTCTTCTCAAGCTGGACGAGATTTTCTTCGAAGAGTTCAGCAGTGCCTTGAAGGCAGGCGACTAAGCCGAAGTAGTCATTATACGACCATATGTAAGTCTGACTATTTAAAACTACCAAGGCACAGCTTCTCATCACGAGATCCACGCGATTAATCTCACGTTATGCATTGCATGATTATAATGTTCAATATCGGACCCCAGACGTATCAAGTATAAGTCTAACTGAAAATGGTGAATTTCAAGCGCAGATTCAGTCACTATTTATTTTAGAAGCTCTTTGGTTAGATTCTGGGTGGAAGATACGAGCACGTTTTCTGAGCTTCGGTTAATGCAAAATCTTCAAGTAAAAGCTCCATTGATGCAAATTTCACTGTAACTCGTTATACTTGGTAGAACTTGTCGTCAAGTGCCTACGACCGAATCGTCTAAGACTGTACTTTATGTGTCATGGACACACAAGTTGCTTGATCACCTAAACAGAAAAAACAAAATACGCTTAGTATGCTAATGTCTATCGTTGGCGAAGGAATCAAAGACGTGGCGTCTGATGGGCCGACCATAAGCTCTCTGGTAGCGCTCATTAGCTAAGAGACAGCGAAGGTGATACGCCTCAGGATGAAAGCGTATTTGGCTCGCGCCAGCCGGCCGGTAGTGTTGAGCGTCTAGCTCTATGAGGGTGGAGAGGATATCATGGGTAGTTGAGACGGCCATAAATCTGATTTTTGCTTCAAATGGCGTTGCGCTGGCGGCTTCAAAAAGACCGACAAAGGCATATTTACGCAAGTACATTTTATGTAGCGCCATTCTTGTCATGAAGCGTACTGATACGTCATATTTCGTGGGTGATCGCACTGCCTGTTCGGCATATTGAGTAAGCTCCAAGTAATTATCCACCCGAGAAGGAAAACAAGATGTGATGGACTATGCTCGCGAGTTGCGAGATCATTTCGCCGCGATGGTGGCAAACCTTCGGCCAATAGCGGTAACAGTTCAGTTTCATTGCGATTGTTCGTGCAATTTCTGCTTGCATCGAAACCTTCGGCGTCCTTTTTCTCTTTCTTTTATGGTGGCGATTGAAGTCGTATGAAATGCGGAGTACAACTGTCGTGTCTTGAGGGCCAAGCAATATATGGAATTTACATATAAACAGAAACGATGGAGCTCAGACATGCTGAGGAGGAGCAAGATATTTCGTTCAGCTGCCGACTAGTGTACTTGCGCTCGCGGATGGTAAATCTGCGACAGTTTCAAAAATAAGTGCCCTGTGAGCCTACTTCTTTATCGGCTGAGATGTATGAAGGGTCGAGCTCCCACGCAGGATCGGCCGACAAATTCCTTGAAGATGCAAGACGGCCTACAGCAAACGAATTGACCTTTTGTACCTCCTGAATGTCGAGGTCAGACTTGAACCGAATAGACGTTTTAAGAATTAAGAAGAAATAGACCCCAAACTCCCACATTTTTGGCTGTTAACAACGCTGTTTGGATCCGTAGGTAGTTTTAACGAATGCAGGAGCGTCGTAAAGGTTCGTTTTGAAGGCACGATTGACAGAAATACTAAGATCAACGCGGAGACCATTAGAATATCCCATATGGAAACACATATGACCAGTGGCGAAGGTTCTATCGAGTCTTTCTGTAAATTTAAGGTTTGGCAGCGTAAAAAGTTGATCTCAACCCCATGACCCAAGGGTCAACTGGGAATACCAACACTCAGATTTCCCTTGATGAGGCTTTGGTGAGTCGTGAACACACCTCTGATTCACTTATGGTGCGATTACGAAGCTACGATAACATCGGTACTGAATATGGAACTGATGATGTTGCTGAGTGCGTTGAGCAATGACAAGAAAGCAGAAGTGGTCGTAAGCTGTGCTCTCAAGGCTAGCCAAGAATAGATATCGTATAGCGCGATTTCTGAGTATATTTCTGATGCGACAGGATTGTGCGATAGTATGTTGTGGCCCTCGAGTGTATCTTTGGTGAGTTGCTTAGTAACAGATGCAGGCTGGTGTTTCATGCATCAGGGCTGCTGGAAAAAAGTAAGAGAGATGTTGTATCACGGTTATTTGTGCAAAGGCCCGTAGACGGGTGTCAGTTTGTCGTAATAGAAGGGTCAGGTCCTCAAGTTATTAAGAGTTGGTGCTTCGTTGTTACAGTGTCACGCTAGTGCTGAATACGCACTGTATGCCTCGCCCACCACGCGGAGCAGCGAAGCTCAACGGTGGTGGTGATAAATGATACCCTCTTGTGAATGGAATGTCCTAGGTTATCCTAAAGGTTGTAAATATTTTTTCATTGTATTCGGTAGAAACCAACATTGAGCTTGTGAAATTTGTACAATGTATGTGAACTAACGTAACGGTACGGTAGAAAACGAATGAGAAGCATAGATCAACATCCGTCATGGTGAGTTTGTCGATGAGGACACAGACGAGAAACTAAGTGGTACAATTGCTACGCATATGGATCCTGAAAATAAATTTATCGTTTGTCAATGAAATATTTATGTGGTCACATGTTGCCCTAAGATCACGGAGTATACCATGAAATTGTGTGACCAAACAAGCAATGACCCACACCAAGGAAACGTTTGGCTTCATTGACGCTTTCTTTCGTGCAGGCACGAAGCGGGGATAATAGGAGGAAATAAATCTACCAGCTCGATTCGGACCGTTGTGTCAGAAATGCAACGACAAGTGGTGAATTATGCAAGCTTACAATTATTGCCGCCACTTATGAAAAGTGCCGTTTCCTAAAAAGATGTGCAACAAAGCGACAAACTTTGATATTTGCTCTCGGTCCAGTTCATAGTTATTCTTAACTGCTCATCCGAGACAGTCATATCTTTCTCGCTGCGGTTAGAACATCAAGCGAGATGGCAAATTATGACACAGAGATTGTCTAGCACACCATCAATTTGTATAGCTGTATATGCCGCGTTGTGCCTACGAACAAGCCATTTTTGACGATATATTCGTTCATAGTCGTTCAGAGCTTGGTGAGTCGGATGTAGAGATGTACACCAAACAGTTGTGAGCATTGCTTCAGTATATGCGGCTCAAATGCTGTTCTTCGATGTTTCGCAGAACAAATTCTTCGTTCTGACATCCTCTCCACTAGGCCTGTAACGGGTTACACGTACCCTGGTAACAGGTGTGTGTCACACGAGATGTGCATGGTGTGACTGCACCCAAACAAGAATACGGTATGTGACTAGGTAGCCAGTAGTTATGCATGTATTTAGATGTTACTATATATATGTAGTGAACTCTATACGTTTAAAATTAGGCGGATTAGCCGCAGATAAAAATAAATAAAAATCAGTTTTGAATTTAAACCGAAGAGTTTATTAGCCAACTACTCTTGGAGTAAGCGGATTGCGATCCGCTACACTCGTATTGGTTCTTGTAAAGAACGATAGATCGGTGACCTAAATTGCGCTTCCTTAAGCGCTAAGCTGCAGCAGTCCCGCTGCAAGGCCAGTGATACAGTGCGGAAGCACGCGGGAGCTTTGAAGAATTAGATAAACAACGGAACTCAAAAAAGTGCACTTAAATTCTGGTATGCCGAGAACTCTTATAGTCGAGGTATCTACATGCTGTCATCACCTAGCAAAATCACGAGAGTCAGCCGCGAAAGGGCCGTCGTCCACCGTCACTGCGTGATGAGCAAGGGGAGACACATTTTCATGTAAAGCGGTTAATGAGCAGGCGTTTTCACCAGAATTATTACCTGTATCTGGCTGAGTGTAAAGGGTATACCGGCATCCCAAAAATTGAGGTTCCACCTCTCTGGCGCCATTGACGGTCATGACCTGATCCTTGGTTTTTCGATAATAAAAATGGAAGGTAGAGTCGCCCACCTCGGCACACTTTCCACTAGCAAATGGACCCCGTCTTCGATTCAACTTCGAGATATGGTCGATAGCTGTAACGGCTGTATTATAAAGATTATTGGGCTGCTGACAACAAGAATTAATTCATCTCCACTTCTACTTTCACGTTGTGTATTTACTTTGCGAAGTTGAGCACTGAACGTCGCTCAATTTGAGTGTCTGATTCACATAAGCTGACTTGTAAAACAGTAAGTCGGGTACGACAAAATGTTTTTCTCGCCTAGTTCGCGAATTTAGTGCGAGACCCTTCGGCACTTTTGCCAGCATTTAGCGCTCAAGGTTAAATTACTATGGAAGGTGCAAACTTATACAATCGCTGCTGATCCAAGCGCAGCCGGTTATCTTGAAGATTGGCGGCCGACGAGATTCGAAAACGTCCACGGAGTAGCTTTTGAGGGCTCGATTCAATCTCTGAGCAAAACGTCAGCACGCATAAGCGCGTAAAGGCTCAACAACAGCGTGGGGAGCAATTTCAGATAAATGTGTTCCATAATCACGATCGGCAAAAACGGTGCGACACTTTTACTTGCAGACTGACAAGCTGGACGTCGCTGCAGCTTTGTCCGCCGTAGGAAACCACAAGCTCGTTTAACAGAGCGTAAAGAACACTTCTTGATCAGCGATATTTTTGCTATCTTTCTATTGCTGACTTTGGGGTTCAGGTTCGGCGTTACGATCGTTCATATTGGAGAACACTGCGACCTCCTCAACAATATTAATCTTAAAGTTGCTGGCCGCGAGACTCGCGCATACTGCTGTCGTCGTATGATGCTTACACACGTGGACCTGATTGAGAAATTCTTTAGTTAAAATTTGTTTGAACTTCATGTAGTTACGTAAAAGAAAGAACCCTCGTTGCGTCGTATTTGCAGGCACCGTAAGGTGTAAGTGAGTGACATTACCCCAAGCGCATCAGGTGCTCACATTTTCACAATATCATAAAAAGACAAAATATGTCTGAGTGCCAATTCTTGGTTGTAGTGCAAACATACACGTTACACTATTCAGAAGTACTGACATTGATGAGGACGATGGAATGGCTGTATTTTCACTCCTGAGATGCTACATCTGCAAGCAAGTGAAAATATCACATCAATATATTTTGTCGTTCGATTGAATATATATCTCTCACGATATAAAAAATCAAACAAGTATTTTGTTACTTAAGAGGCTATCAGCTCCGCTACTTGTACACGCGATTTAAAATTCTACATTTTATCAAATTTAAAATGAAGCTGTACACGTTGCTACCCGTGTTAGCGCTTCCCGAAATCTTGGCGCAGGGTGACTTTGCAATACTTGATCCAGAGGTAGCTGCAGTAGCAGAAGATCCGAACTTTAATCCTTACAATAGCAAGCCGCGTGGAGTAGACTCAGCCGCCACAACACCAGAAGCACATGCCGTGGAAAGTTATGACTTTGACCCATCCGAGGGTCTGACGTTTTACGTAGCGGGTGGTAGCAGTGAATGCTTTTTTCAAGATGTCAAACTTGACAGCGATCATTTAAGTGGCGCTTACGTAGTAAGTTCTGCTGATTCGCACATTGATTTGGAGGTGAAAAATCCCGAGGGTGCTACGATCTACCGCCGAACAGGTGACGATGAGGGCGAGTATCTCATTTCGCCAAAGTAAGTTAAAGCTTTTAGTTATGCTTAATTTTTGTTGATCACGTTGCTGAAGAGCTTATGTTATCCAAAAAAGGCAGGCAGGCATTTATGAATTGTGTTTTCGGAATTCGGACTCGGATGGCAAATTGGTGACACACGTGACCAATACTTTGCAGTCACAGCATCCAGTTGAAAAAGGTTGATTACTTTTTATTCTTCTGACTGTTGGCTCTTATATTGATTAATGTTGTGAATGTGTAGAACATGTGAGTGTGTTAGCCAAGTACGCATCGCATGTGGATGTGCGTCTTGGCGAGCTCGAGTCAGAATTAAGGCTCCAGCTGATTAGGTTAGACAGACATATAAAAGGTAAGTCAATCACATTAAGTTGATGCTTTACGCTGTTAACAAATTTTTGCATGCAGTGGAGCAAGAGATGAACAAGCACGTCACGTTTTACGGAGTGCTGGAATGCGTCGTTTACCTCATAGTCTGCTTTTTTCAAGTGTACTACATTAAAAGTTTGTTGAATAACCCGCGTAAGGCCAAGTCTTGGGTGTGATGAGATATTACTGTGTAAAAAGCGACAACCGTAGAAAGTAGCAAACAAATGGAAGCGTTGAACAGCAAATTGGTACATATATCTATGGGGCCTTCAAGGGTGCATCTAATTCTTTTACATACTCAAGGTCGGGCCGATTGAAAGATGGCCGGTAACGTGTCCAAAGATCCATAAAGTCTGGTCCAAGTCCTTTAATCTTGTCGCCATTTCTATCTTCATACATCCACAAGTAGCTTCTCGCAACTTCTTCCAGCTCCTTCTCCGGTAGCTGCAATACAGTCCACCATGGCTCATTCTTCTCTGTCGCTACATTTGGTCCCACTTGATAATGATACAAGCATGCGAGATACACTGCACCGGCAGCAAGTGCAATACAGTCGAACGCCAAAATCAATCCACTTTTAATTGCATCGGCTATCAACATGAACGTAACCTGACGAATATTCTCGTAGCTAATATCTGGATGCATTGCTTCTAAGGCAAATATTCGCTCCATGTGTCGAGCCACATAAGCAAATGGCTGAGGGGCTGCGATTTCGAACGATAACGAGAGTAACAAGATCCTCTCGAGTAGTAAGACTTTGCTTGCATTTGCTTCGACTTCTCCGACTTCCACGAATTCTAATATTGCATTAAGCCACTCAATGTGCTTTGTATTAGCGTTATCTTTATCTTTTTCGAGAGTGGTAGGCATCTCCAGTGGTTTGCCTTTTAAATCCATCCGCTGTTTCTTTTTGATCGGCTCAGCAGGTGACGGAGAATGTCGTGAAGCAGTAGACCCACTTCCTTTTAGTACATGACCTTTATGTTTTTTCATAAGCTTTTCTTGAGCCTGCTCACGACAGAGCAGTAAGTACATAGAGCACTCGGTAATATAGCGGACCTTGACTGGAAATTCTTCGGTCTTGCCAGCCAGAAACAGCGCAGCCGTTGCTACTAAAAAGCGGTCGTGGGTCGCAAATGAGTGCATCATATAAAAGCGTTGAATGAACAATTGCGCTGATATACTTGGAGCCTCAGGCATTTCTAGAAGTTGTGCTAGGTGCTCGACAAATGTACAGGTTGTGCGTCGCAGTTGCTGCTCTACTGCCCACGGAACGTTAGACTCTGTAAAGCTAGGCGTAAGGAAATTTGATGCACTTCGAGCTTGTTCATTCTCCTTTTCTGCGTCATTCGAAGTTTTTCTTGCTGTCTGCAAAATCATGTTGCGCAGCTCTGGAAAGACCCACTTCCCCGCCGGTTCCGGCGCCATTGTGATTGTTTTTTTAACTATTTAGTGTAGAACTTACACCATTAACTACAAATCGAAAATGCTGCGATTGGTGCTGCGCAATGCTCGGTGTAGTGTCTACACGTCTGCACGAACAGGAGCGTCTCGTCAGCTAATGTTAGCCAATATGTCATCATCTACTTCCTCCATTTCTGAGGTCTCGTCAATGTTCGCCAAAGTAGGACGTGATATTCCTCTTAGAGTGATTCCCAGAGCTGAGCGACGAGCAGCACGTCAGAGTACAAAGCATTCTGTTGACACTTCTGTAGGCCATAAAGTCGTGCGAACATCGTCGCTTCCAGCAAAAATTTCATTTGCAGTGCTAGCTGGGAGCATTTCGGGCTCGATATTGTGGCACTTTGTGCTAGACGACAAAATGAAGAACCGTATTACGGATACGCTTGGCTCTACGTTTTTAGGTGATATCTACACATATATTGCCAAAAAGGTAGAAGAAGCAGTCAAACCATTTACGGACCCTTCAAGACAGAAATTGTTGCCCGATTGGCCCATTCCACAGGTGCCAGCAGACACACCACCCGTTCCCGTGCTGGTATTGGATCTTGAAGATACGCTCGTGCATTCCGAGTGGAGCGTACGTACCCCGCAACTATTAAGCTAAATAGATTGTTGTTTGTTTGCTAACTAAAGTGTCGGTTTAACAGAGAAAGCATGGCTGGCGTCATGCTAAACGTCCTGGAGTGGACGAGTTCCTTGAAACCTTGTGTCAGTATTACGAGATTGTTATCTTTTCGCAAAACTACGGAGCCGAGGAGATTGTACAGAAACTTGACCCAAAACAGTGTGCTCTGCACATTCTGTCGCGTGACGCTACGCGGTATTTGAATGGCGCCCATGTAAAAGACTTGGCGAACTTGAATCGAGATTTAAAGCAGGTGGTAATTCTAGACGATGATCCAGCGGCGTACCAACTTCAGCCAGAGAATGCCATTCCAATCAAACCCTTTACCAACGGACGGGATCGTGACGACCATGCTTTGAAAGACTTAATTCCTTTCCTTAAGGCCTTAGCTTCAGAGCGCGTACCAGACTTTCGTCAAGTCATTGGAGAATTTCGCGATGACGACGGTGTCGTCCGTGACCTTGCTACGAAATATGCAGCTCGCGTGCACCAGCTTGAGATGCAGAAGGAGCAAAAAAAGAAAAAAGGCTTTGGTGGCTTCGTTCGTGGCCGATTGTCGCACCATCCTACGTCACCGACCGGATCTGTGGCTGCTAGTGGGTTCTCTGGTAGTCCACATGTCTAAGTGGGACACGTTGTTTGTTCAAATGGTGAAAGCATTGGCGACGTGTATGGATTGCCTTCGGTTGTGATAATCTTTAAGCGAAACTTTAAAGGTGATGTCATCAGGTAGCAATCACAGTTATTACGCTTAGCATTCGCTTGACCTGCGTACCAGTTGCTAAGGCTGGACGAAGATTGAAAGCTAATTAAAGGTTGTGAAAAGCTGCTGAACTAAGACTTTAAAAGCTAGATAGTGATTTATCATGTTGCTAGCATACTACACCGACAGATTGCTAGCTTGATGAGCTGATTGGACTTATAAGTAGGTAAGCCTCAGTTCAATAGTATATACTCCATGTGCGATGGTGCGGCAGCAAGTCCTTCTTGTTCTTTTCACCAATTTGCCATAGCAGCCAATCGAGCTCAATGATATGAAGACAATAGCCTTTGCTGATTAGTTGTTGATGAATCTGCTCGACCGCCTGAATGGTCGCAGCACGGATCTCTACCTCCATCTACAGTTATCATTTTCAAGTACGTAGCAGAACAATAATTTTGACAATAATTTGACAACTGGCGAAAGTTGTACCTCACTTCCAGAAGGAATTTCGACTTTACCGTCAACAATTTGAGCAAGTTCCGGCGAATAATGAATGACACAATCAGAGCGAAGAACTTGAGGCACCCGGTAATCAGCTATCCGACAGCGAATTTGAAAATAAGAGAGGGAACCAAAACAATGGCAAAGCAAATTCAAAACTCTATACCAAACATTGTCAGCTTTCCGATATCATGAAAAGAGGTAATTCCGGACGTACGACGCCCATAAGCAGCCCAGACATCCCCAACTAAAATCTGCGCACGTTTATAAAAGTGTACTTGCTCACCCTTGTATAAAGCGTGGTCTTGAAAGCCTTCAGTAGAAATAAATTCTAGGTCATGTGAATTTCATACAAACCCAAAGTATGTTCTAACCTGAAAAGTACGCGAGTACAAGACGAATGGCCTCAACGGCGGAACAACGAGCGCTTTTGATTAAATTCAGCGCTTTTCCATCAAAGTGTTTAAGCAAAACCACACCCACTTCTTGAACCTTACGCTGACGTTCATCCAACTGAGGTGGCGTGTATGGAGAAAACCAAGATGCCACCGTCTCCTTCGTCACATTTGCCAAATTTTCGGCATCTAGTGCATGTGGATCACGCAGCAACGCCGCTTTTAATCCTCGAGCTAAGTGTTCATACTCCATACTGATGCCATCACACAGTATCAGTATAATTCTTCAAACCAAAATGATCAAGTTCTCACTCTTTCGTAGGCCAGAAGCAAAAGTTGAGGGCATCCAGCACAAAAACATATTGACAGGTCAGTGGTCCATTCTCCTTATTATCTTCAAAGTAATGACAGTTTCCGCTGTCCCAAGTAACCACATCAAGCTCATTTCCATTCAATTTCATTTCCTTTGACCACAAGATTCCACTTTATCAAATGATCAATATAGTATGTCAAAATTGCTATCCCCATGATAATTACCAGCTTCGTACTGAAGCGTTCAATAGCTGCTCGGTCAATTCTCACAAACTTTGCGCGCTGCATAACCCGCGCAGTTGATTCTCTTACAGATGCTGTGGGATCCATTATGGTCAAGAAATTCCGAAATACTAATTTCAATAGAGCTTTTCAATGGTTTCTAACCCAATTGGTCAAACAAATAACTAAAATCAACACTCAAAGGCGAGATTTGGACAGTATCATATGAAAGCGTCTCTTCGATGATACAAAACTTGCAGGACTCGAAATTTCTATCTTGTCTCGATCTTTAAACGCCGTCATCCTATTTGGTTCACCCACGTAGTCATTCATGGCTAGTCCACGAATGCAATGGGTGAGTCAGCGCATTCTCGAGACATTTGAGCCAAGTGTGACTCCAGTTGACGTGAATGAATTCTTGGCATGTGCCGCCGCACGAAAGCTTTTTGACGAATTGTTTAGTGGGAATGATACGTGCAAAGTATTTGTGCATTTTCAAACTGATGCCATTGGTGAACTCAGTAGTGAAGACAACAATAAAGCACCGATAGGTAAACTTTGTGCATCACAAGGAAATTCGATTCCAATTCGAGCGAAATGCTGTTTTTTCCTACGGACTACGGCAGATGGAAAACCAATTGATGTCCAAAAAGCTAGCGATAACTCCATTTGTTTTGGTGAGTTAGCTCCAAATATCTTACGTGATCTTGAGACGACCATCAGTTCGCTTTTTTCACCTCATTTGAAAGCGAAAGATGAATGGGGTAGAGCCAATGGGGACTTGACACACGACTTTATTTCGGAATCGGATCGATTTGCTAATGATCTAAAGGAGGCACTAAATAGTATGGATAGTGGACTTGAATTGAGACGACCGGATCGAAGTATCTTGGCTGAATTATTGAACAACAATGGACGTGGAGGGGTGAGAGTAAGGGCAAGTGTACTGGTTGCCGAATCACCAACACTCGTCACGCATTATGAAGACGTACTCAAGGAATGGTGTGATGTCATTTCAACGTATTTGACGACAAACACGACTAATGATAGTAAAGGAAATAGTAATCAGACGATTGATGATAATGGTCCGATGGGAGAACTTGAGTATTGGAGACGACGAATGCAGCGACTAACCAGTATCACAGAGCAGCTGAAAATGAGCGAATGCAAGGATGTCTTTGCAGTTTTGACCAGGTCAACCAAAAGTGTCAATGATGACATCAAACAGCGAATTCAGACGCTGCTTCGACGGTGGAAGCAAGTTGACATTGGCATCACCGAGGCAGCCAACGAGGCCAAGGATAACGTTAAATATCTGTTCACATTAGAGCGATTCATTATTCCGCTGTACAATGGCACACCTACCTCTATCATCGATACGCTACCGGCCCTTATTAACTCGATCAAGATGATCCACTCGATTGCCAGATATTACAATACAACGGAACGAATGACCAATTTATTTACAAGAATTACGAATCAAATGATTTCAAATTGTAAGCATTGTGTAACTGGTGGTGAAACTTACGAAGTCATGTGGGATAAAGATCCCGAAGAGTTGGTGCGGCATCTTGACTCCTGTCTTAAGCTGAATGAGGCGTATCAACAGCAGTATCGAGTCACAAAAGAAAAGCTTCTCACGACACCCAAAGGCAAACAATTTGACTTGAGTGAAGCTAAAATTTTTGGTAAATTTGATCTCTTCTGTCGACGTGTGATGAAGCTCATCGATATGTTCACGACAATTCAGCAATTCTCGTCTTTAGGTCAGCATCGTCTTGAAGGAATGGACGATGTGATCGCGAAATTTAACTCGATTATACGCGAATTTCAGTACCGTAACCACGACCTTCTTGACTACAAGAACAATCGATTTGATCGCGACTATGTTGAGTTTAATGTCCGGATCTCAGACCTCGAAGGTTTACTACAGAAATTCATCAACGATTCATTCGACAATATCACGTCCATCGAGCATTCGCTAAATTTGCTGCGTAAATTTCAGACCATTTTGCAGCGGGAGAACCTTAAAGCCGACTTGGACTCGAAATTTAACGTGATTTTTCAGAACTACGGACTCGAACTTGAGCATGTCTTGCAGCAATATGAAAAGTACAAGCAAAATCCACCGTACCCGCGCAATTTACCACCAGTAGCCGGTAACATTACGTGGTCAAGACATCTTTTAAAACGAATTGAAGAGCCTATGAAGAAATTTGAGTCAAATCAGAATGTTTTGGCGAGTAAAGACGCTAAGCGAATTATTCGCATGTACAACAAAGTAGCACGAACTCTGGTAGCGTTTGAGTATATTTGGTACCAAGCTTGGGTACAATACATTGATACAGCTAAAGCTGGGTTGCAGGCTACGTTGATCATTCGTCATCCTGAAGACAATAAATTGTACGTCAATTTCGATCCTGAAATTTTGCAGCTCTTACGTGAAGCGAAATGTTTGGATCGAATGAGTATTGAGATTCCTGAGGCAGCTAAGATTGTTTTGCTTCAAGAAGATAAGTTTAAGAATTATTACAGTGAACTTCAGTATGCTCTGGCTGAATATGATCGTATTGTTAGCAAAGTTATCCCCGTAACTGCGATGCTGTTGCGGCCTCATTTTAACGATATGGAATTTAAACTTCGTCCAGGCATGATTACATTAACGTGGACAAGTATGAACATTGATGCTTATCGAAGTCACATTCACTTAGGTCTTCAACATTTAGAGGAATTGGTGACAAATATCAACGACATAATTGAAAATCGAATTGAAAAAAACATGCGAATTGTATCCAAGACCATGCTTGTCGATTTACCTGTCGATCAATCATTTTCACTGGATGATTTTGTGGCCATGCAAAGTACAAATATCAAACGAGCAGGTGCGTTATTGCAAGGCAAGAACGTTGAAATTGAGAATGCAGTAGACGACATGCTGAAAATTATTATCCAGTATCCGCTAGACTCGCACATTGATGGAGTTCCTAACGAAGAAGTTATGAAGCTCAAAAAACACTACAATCATTTCATGTACCAAGCGCTATTACACTGTACCAAGAACTCGTTGAATACGATAAAAAAAAGAGTGGCTTCACGATCCATATCGTCCATTTTTACTATCGAACGTCCATTTTTTGAAGTCGACGTACAGCTAAGCGTCCCAAATGTCCAATTGCATCCGTCTTTGGATGAAATCCAGCTGGCTATTAACAAAGCTGCACAGACTGTACTTAGCTGCTCGAAAGAATTATTAGACTGGGGACAGCTCGATTTATCTGCTGGAGGTACAGAAGTAGCTACAACTACTAGTAGCGGGACTGCTGGCAAACTCACATTCTTCGATCGAATTACAAAGGACATTGAGATTGTTCGGGTGGTGCTCCTGCTTACTGGAAGCGTCCAGGGTTTACGCAATAATGTGTCGGAATATTTAAGATCGTTCAAAAAGTATGAATGGCTCTGGATGGAGCAAAAGGACGCTGCGTACGATAAATTTCTCAAAACTAATCCGGATTTGCAAGATTTTGAAAAGAAACTGAAGTCTTTTGTCGACATTGACACTGAAATTTCACGATTAACACTTATCTACAACATTGGAGCACTCTCTTTAAACACTCGAAATCTGAAATTACAACTCAAACATGAAAATGCGCAGTGGAAATTGAAATTTTCTGATAATCTTCATAACCAAGCAAGGCGAAAGATGGAGTCCTTAACGGAATATTTTCGCTCAACTATGGGCAAGTTGAATCGAAAAGTTGTGGACTTGGATTCCTTGCGATTTGTTATGAATTTATTGAAAGAAGTGCGAGCTCGAGAGAGCGGCATTAACATGGAAATTAATCCTGTCTTAGATATGTACGAAATGCTCGAATACTATCTTCTGGATGGGTTCATGGATAAAGAAGAGATGGATCAAAAGTCGGTTTTACGTAGTAATTGGCGCAAACTGATCCATCATGCTGAAGCTCGTACCGACGAGCTGAGCAAGACCCAAGCAGGTTTCAAACGTGGTCTTCTACGTGATATTAAAGAATTTATTGTTGATGTGAAACAATGGCGTGAAGATTTTCTCGCGAATGGTCCGATGGTGATTGGTATTCCTCCAATTGAAGCTGTTGAAAGGCTCAATCGATACAAGGAAGAATTTAAAATCCGCGAGCGTAAACACGAGCTGTACTTGTCTGGAGAAGAGCTCTTTGCTTTACCAAAGACAACATACCCAGAGTTAGAAATGACGAAGAAAGAATTACAGCTTCAGGATAAATTGTTTGGGCTCTATACGGATGTTTTGAGTACAATTGAAGACTGGAAACAAATTCCATGGCTATCCGTTGCTGAGCGCGTACAATCAATGACAGAAAAAGTCGATGCCTTTTCTCTTCGATGCAAGAAAATGCCAGGTAAATTACGGGAGTGGGAAGCGTATACTGATCTAAAAAAGATGATTGACGACTTTACTGATGTGCTACCACTACTCCAAGAACTAAGTAAAGAGAGTATCAAGCCTCGACACTGGGAAGCTGTGATGGTAATCACGAAGACGCAGTTGGATGTGACTGCTCCAGATTTTAAGTTACAGGCTTTGATGGATGCAAACATTGTGGAGTATAAGAATGAAATCGAAGAAGTGACAGATGGTGCTGACAAACAGTTGAAAATTGAAGTGCAGTTGGGAGAAATCTCAGCGCGCTGGGAGACAGAAGAGTTTCAGTTTCAAGACTGGAAAAGTCGGAATGTTCCAATTCTCAAAGCAGTGGTACCCGTTGTGGAAGAATTGGAAGAAACACAAATGAATCTTCAAACAATGCTATCGATGCGTCATGTGATTCCATTCAAAGATATTGCTCAGGGTAAATTGGAACAATTATCCGATACATCGGAGACACTCGAGCGATGGATCAAGGTGCAAATGTTGTGGTGTTCGCTAGAATCGGTGTTTACAGGGGGTGATATTGCGAAACAAATGCCTGTGGAAGCTAAGAAATTTCAAAAAGTTGACAAAGATTGGGCAAAGATCATGGCAAAATCCGAAGAAGTGAAAAATGTTGTAGCGTGTTGTGCCAGTGAATTGCTGCGATCGTGTCTCCCAACAATGTATTCAGAACTGGAAAAGTGCCAAAAGAGCCTGGAAGGGTATTTAGAACAGAAGCGCAACAAGTTTCCTCGATTCTACTTTGTATCGAATCCTGGTTTGCTGACGATCTTATCGCAAGGAAGTGATCCGTTGAGTATGAATGAACACTACGAAAAGGTATTTGATTCAATTGAACGCGTCTATCATGACAAGAAAGATAAGACGTTGATCCATACAATGGTGTCGGGAGTTGAAGAAGTGCGATTTTCTCAGATCGTCAAAGCACAGGGTAATATCGAGGATTGGCTGGCCACTTTGCTACGTGGTATGCAGATTACAATGAAAGATATTTGTCGACAAAGTGCTGTAGATATTGGCGTCGTAGGCAACGATTTAAAGCGCCTACGGGAGTTTGTCGACCGGTACGTAGCTCAATTTGCGCTCCTTGGCATTCAAATGATGTGGACAACAGATATTCAGACAGCACTGGAACAGTGTCGCGTAAAGAAAAACATTATTAAAGATACAAGCACGAAACAAGCGATGGTGTTGACGGAATTGTCAAACTGGTGTTTAGGAGATCTGGGTTCGAAGGAGAACCGGATTAAAATCGAGACACTTGTGACGATCCACGTACATCAGCGTGACGTCATGACTGATCTTGCGACATTGTACAAACAAAAGAGAATCTCGGATCCGAATGATTTTGAATGGCTCAAACAAGCACGATTTTATTGGAGACCAAGCAATGGTGACGAATTTAATCCCGACGGAGCGTGTGTTATCTCGATAACGGATGTGGATTTTAACTATCAATTCGAGTATCTGGGATCTAAAGAGCGATTAGTAGTTACTCCACTAACCGATCGATGTTATATCACATTAGCTCAAGCTTTAGGTATGTACTTTGGTGGTGCACCCGCTGGACCTGCTGGAACGGGCAAGACAGAGACCGTTAAAGATTTAGGTCGTACCCTTGGAATTTACGTCGTGGTGACGAATTGTACTGATCAACAGAAATACACGGATTGTGCCAAAATCTTCAAAGGATTATGTCAAGGTGGTCTTTGGGGCTGCTTTGATGAATTTAATCGTATACAACTACCTGTTTTGTCCGTCGTCGCACAACAAGTGCTTGCGATCCAAAATGCAAAGAAAACGGGCACAAAGTATTTCCAATTTCCTGGCGATCCGCAGAATATTCTACTCACGCAAGTGTGCGGGTATTTTATTACCATGAATCCTGGATACGCCGGTCGACAGGAACTTCCTGAGAATCTGAAAGCGTTATTTCGCGGTGTAGCGATGATGGTACCTGATTTTGAGATTATCATGAAAGTCAAGCTGTGTTCCGTGGGGTACTCAGAATACCAAGATCTTGCCAAAAAGTTCTTTATCCTTTACAACACATGCAAGGAACAATTATCTGCTCAGAAGCATTACGATTGGGGACTACGTAATATTCTCGCTGTGCTCCGAAGCGCCGGAAAGATCAAACGAGACAATCGCACCGATCTTGAGTCAAAACTACTGTACCAGACTTTACGTGATATGAACCTTTCGAAACTTGTAGCACAAGATGTACCTCTTTTCTTGTCCCTCTTGGCCGACTTATTTCCAACTGTTCAATCGCCTCCAAAAGGCTCATACCCAGAACTAACTCTTGCTTTACAAGCAGAAATTGATAAACAAGGGATTGTCGACCATTCGGGATGGGTCAATAAAGTTATTCAACTTTATGAGACGCAGCTTGTTCGTCATGGAATTATGTTGGTAGGTCCAACGGGAGGTGGCAAGACGAAGATCTTTGATGTCTTGATGCAAGCACTTACCGTCACGACAAATACGGTTCACAAACAATCAAAACTCAATCCAAAAGCCATTCGTGCAGCTGAAATGTATGGAGAAGTTGATCCAATGTCAGGAGAATGGACGACAGGAGTCTTTGCAGCTATGTGGGCAAAGTACAATAACAAAGCCAATAAATTTATCATGTGGATGACATGTGACGGACCTGTCGATGCCATTTGGATTGAAGATCTCAATACTGTGCTAGATGATAACAAGATCTTAACACTTGCAAATGGAGATCGAATGCCCATGACAGACAATGTCAAACTCATGTTTGAAGTCGAAACGTTAGTAAATGCGAGTCCAGCAACCGTCTCACGTGCAGGAATTGTTTTTATTAGTGACACAGACTTGGACTGGGCTCCTGTGGTTGAAGCGTGGATTCGAAAACGTCCAGTTACTAATCAGACGATATTTCGGGACTTGTTTTTGAAATATATGGGGGAAAACAACCCCGTGAAGCCAGGCCATTGTTTTGACTATTTAAATCGGAACACTGAAGGTGTCATGCCAGTATCTCGCGTAGGACAAGCTGCTCGATTGTATAATCTCATGACTGGTTTATTGCTTGGAGAGCATGGGTTGACGCTGGCAGAAGATGCTGGAAAACTGAGGCTACAGCTCGAAAAATTATTCTTGTACTGTCTTTGCTGGTCCCTTGGTGCACTCTTGGAACAAGATGATCGTGTCAAATTTGACGAGTGGCTACGGCAGTACGATGACAATGCTCTGCTTCCAAAATGTGAGGCAGAACAGACGGTATACGAATACTTTGTTGACCCACAAAGTTGGGACTGGAAGCTCTGGCGACCAGCAAAATGGGAGTATCCCAAGGGTACAAAACGACTTGATTTTTCCAATTTGCTTGTACCTACCATGGATTCAGTTCGGACGTTGTATCTACTTACCAACTTGCACAAACAACGCAAGCCAGTTTTGATGGTTGGCGGTCCAGGAACCGCTAAAACATCGTCAGCTTTGATGTTTTTTAATGAATTGAATCCAGAAGTCATGATGATTAAACGAGTAAATTTTTCAAGTGCTACAACACCATATATGTTTCAAAATGCAGTTGAAAGTGAATTGGATAAACGAGGAGGAAAGAGTTTTGGACCTCCTGGAGGCAAGAAAATGACCGTGTTTCTCGACGATCTCAGTATGCCATTAGTGAATGCGTGGGGAGATCAACCGACGCTTGAGATTGTGCGTATGATCATTGAATTAAATGGTTTTTGTTTCTTGTCGAAAGATCGACGAGGTGATTTTAAAGTATGTGAAGATCTACAATACGTAGGCGCTATGGGGCATCCAGGAGGTGGACGCAATGACATTCCAAATCGGTTAAAGCGTCAATTTTACTTGTTCAACTTAATTTTACCATCTCTAACGTCAATCGACGATATTTACGGCCAGATGCTCGCAGGACGATTTGATTTGGAAACGTATAGTAAAGAAACACTAAATGTCGTGAACAAACTTACGCGTGCGACCATTGATTTATGGAATTTCATGAAAGCAAAGTTGTTGCCGACACCAGCAAAATTTCATTATATTTTCAATATGCGGGAACTCAGTCGCGTATTTCAAGGCATTTTACTCACCCCAACGGAAACGTTTACGACTGGTGGAGGATATCGTGTAACACAAGGTAAAGTGGCAAAAATGGAGCCTGGACAAGTAGTTTTACTTACGTGGAAACATGAATGTGCGCGCGTCTTTTGCGATAAATTAACAAACAATAAAGACAAAGACTTGTTCGGTGCTTACATGAAAGAATTGCTTAAAGTGCAATTTGGTGAGACGTTGGAAGAATTTTGTCGACAGGATTACTGTATGGTGAATTTCCTTCGAGATCCAGAAGAGGATGATGAAGGTGGTATGGCTGACACGGCAGTTAAAATGTACGAACCGGGTGGCACCGTCACAGATGTACGCACCCGCGTACTTGAGTTTCTCAACAAGTACAATAGCGATTTTCCCCAGCGACAGATGCGTTTGGTTCTCTTTGATGATGCGTTAAATCATTTGTTACGAATCTCGCGCTTGCTCGAAATGCCTCGAGGATCAGCGTTGCTTGTTGGAGTAGGTGGATCCGGAAAACAGTCACTCACGCGCTTGGCTGCGTACATGGCTGGGTCGACAATTTTTCAAATTATTCTCACGAAAACGTACAATACCAACTCGTTTATGGAAGACATTCGTACATTGTACAAAAGTGCCGGCCATCTTCGTAAATCAACGACGTTTTTGTTTACAGACGCCGAGATAAAGAATGAAATTTTCTTAGAATTAATCAATTCGATCCTCATGACTGGTGAAGTGGCTGGTTTATTTGCAAAGGACGAAATGATGGCCATGACCGCTGATATTCGCAATTCGTTCGTCAAGGAACGACCGGGTCAAGCAGAGACTCAAGCAAACTTACGTCAGTACTTTACCGACTGTGTCCGCGATAATCTACACGTGGTGTTATGCATGTCGCCATTAAATGCCAAATTTGCCGAACGTGCGCGTAAATTTCCTGGTTTAATCAGTGGACCTACAATCGACTGGTTTTTACCGTGGCCAGAGGACGCACTGATTGCCGTATCGAAGGGATTTATCCACGATTATCCCATGGAATGTGACACAAAAGTCAAACAAGCACTAATGACCCACATGGGTATGGTACATCGGATTGTCACGGATCTGTGTGAAGAATACTATCAAAAGATGCGACGACGTGTGTACCAGACGCCAAAATCGTACTTGAGCTTCATTGAGTCGTACAAGAAAATGTACAATGTCAAGTTAGATGAGATCAAAGTGAAGGAACAGCGTGTGAATTTGGGATTAAAAAAGCTTATTCAAGGAGCAGAAGACGTTCGAGCCATGTCAATTGTGCTCGCAGACGAACAAGTTAAGCTTGAAAAAGCTACAGTGGAGACAAATACGATGCTTCAATCACTTCAAGTGTCATCTGCAGAAGCACACAAGGAAGGGGATCAAGTTGCGCAGATTAAAGCAAAATGTGAAGAAGATGCAGCGCGAATTTCAGCTGAAAAGGAGCTTTGCGAACGCGATCTGGCCAAAGCAAAACCTTTTGTCGAAGAAGCCGAGACGGCCATTGACTCGATCAAACCGGCACATATTGGCGAGATCAAGAAGCTTGCCAAGCCGGCAGATATTATCCGACTCGTGTTCGATGGCGTCTTGATTCTCTTTAAACTGCCATTGATTCCAGTGAAACAAGTTAAGCTCAATGTAGCAAAGCAAGAGATTGACTTTGTCGAGACGTCGTTCTCTCCGTACGCGCAGTCGATGATGAGCGACTCAAACTTTCTTAAGAATGTTCAAAACTTTGGTGCTGTTGGAAAAGACTTGATTAATGAAGAGACAATCGAGCTTTTGACACCGTACATGGAACTCGAGGGATTCCAGCCAAGTGTCGCCAAGAATGCATCACTTGCCGCTGAGGGATTGTGTACGTGGGTTCGCGCGATGAAATTTTACCATGAAGCGTCCAAAGTCGTCAAGCCAAAGCTGGAAGCGCTGACAATTGCTGAAGGACAAATGGAAGCAGCAAATAAAGCATTGAATGCTGCAGAATTGCGTCTGTCAAAGTGTAAAGAGCGATTAAATGAGTTGCAGCAACTGTTTGAAGCACAAATGGCCGAGAAAAAACGCATCGAAGACGGTGCAAACGCGCTGTCTCGAAAGATGCAACAGGCGTCTGATCTGATCAATGGCCTGGCTGGCGAACGCGTTCGATGGACGGACGACTCGAACAACTTTGCTGACCTGAAACGACGACTCGTGGGCGACTGTGCCGTCGCTTGCGCATTTGTATCGTACTGCGGACCGTTTAATCAAGACTTTCGAACGTACATTGCTCAAAAAAAGTTTGTACCGGACTGTGAGATACGCCATGTACCCGTGACGGTCGATCTTGATGTCATTACTTTCTTGGTAGATGTTGGTACAGTTGGCGACTGGAACATGCAGGGACTCCCAACAGACTCGCTTTCGATTCAAAACGGCATCATGGTCACCCGTTCGTCGCGATACCCATTGCTTGTGGATCCCCAGGGTCAAGCGCTGTCGTGGATCAAGAATAAAGAAGCGGATCGAGTTCCGAGCTACGGCACGACGTCACTTAATCACCCAAAGCTGAAGGATCAGCTGGAGTTTTGTATGGGCGAAGGCAAAGCGCTAATCGTTGCCGGGGTTGAGGAAGAGATTGACCCAATGTTGGATCCCGTGCTTGAAAAGCAGATCATTACAAAGGGCAAAAGTCTTTCGATCAATGTCTCGGATAAGAACATGGAGTTCAACCCAGCGTTCTCCATGTATTTTATCACGCGACTGCCAAATCCACACTTCGGCCCCGAACTGCAGGCCAAAACGACAGTGATTGACTTTACCGTCACGATCAAAGGACTTGAGGAACAGCTTCTTGGCCGCGTCATTGGTAAGGAACAGAAGGCGCTGGAAGAGCAGCTTGCACAAGTGCTAGAAGACGTCAACATGAATACAAAGTCGCTTTTAGCTCTCGATGCGTCGCTTCTAGAGCGGCTGACGTCTAACACGGGCAATTTATTGGAAGATGAAGAATTGATTGTTGTGCTGGCTAATACAAAAGAAAAAGCGGCTGAGGTGAAGGATAAACTCCTTGCCGCTGCTGATACGCGCAAGTCGATCAATGAGAAGCGCGAACAGTTCCGCCCTGTGGCCACGCGCGGATCTGTTTTGTACTTTTCGGTCGTTGAGACTTCGCTAATCAATTGCATGTACCAGACATCGCTGAATCAGTTTTTAGCGTTGTTTATGAAGTCAATGGATGTAGCTGAGAAGGCGGCACTGGCGTCCAAGCGCGTAGCGAACATCATTGAAACAATGACGTACCTTTCTTATCGGTACATTAATCGTGGGCTGTACGAGCGCGACAAGCTGACGTTTGTGCTGTTGTTGACGCTTAAGATTCTCGTGACGGACTCATTATTGACTCGCGAGGAAGTGACGCTATTGATCCGAGGCGGGGCTGCTCTTGATATCAATTTAGTGCGTCGCAAGCCGTTCGCATGGCTCTCAAATGAAGCGTGGCTCAACGTCGTTGAGCTGGCGCAAAGTTGTAAGTTTTTTACCAACTTGCCTAACGAAATGGCTTCCAATGAGGCCATGTGGCGTCGCTGGTACGAAGACAATGAGCCTGAGACTGTCGTGATTCCCGACTATGAAGCACGACTGACCGAGAATGAAGCCATTGGTCCGTATTACAAGCTGTTGCTCGTTCGCTCACTGCGGATGGATCGCACGATTCTCACGACCAAGGAGTTTATCCGGAATACACAGCAAATGGGTCCACGCTATGTCGAGCCCGTGACGGATACGATTGAGAGCATTTTTAGCGAGATGAAAGCTGAGACACCCGTAATCTTTCTTCTTTCAATCGGTGCAGATCCAACCGAAAGTATCGAGATGCTAGCGCGTAAGCAAAAGAACCCGTCGCCGGCTGTCGTGTCAATGGGCGAAGGTCAGGAACCTGTGGCACTCAAGGCGATCAATGCGGCTGTTGTCAATGGCACGTGGGTGCTATTGCAGAATTGTGAGTTAGGCTTGGAACTTATGGAGCAAATGGAAGAAATCATGCTTAAACTCACTGAGACGATGGATCCGGGCTTCCGTCTTTTTCTCACAGCACTGCCTAACGATCAATTTCCGCTCGGGTTACTGCAAATGTCGACTAAAGTGACAAACGAACCTCCACAAGGACTGCGCGCTGGGTTGTTACGGTCGTATACAGTCATGGTCGACCAAGAGAAACTCGAACGGGTTGAGACAACACAATGGCGACAGCTGCTGTTTAACTTGTGCTTCTTGCACTCGGTTGTGATTGAGCGCAAAAAGTTTGGACCGCTTGGATGGGGCATTCCGTACGAGTACAATAATGGTGACCTGTCTGCATGTACCATTTTTCTCGAAAAACACCTGTACAATGGACCGATTTCGTGGCCAACACTGCAGTACATGGTCGCTGAAGTGCAGTACGGTGGCAAGATCACCGACAATATGGACCGCCGGTTGTTTAACTTTTATGGCGAGTGGTGTCTCACACCGGACGTGTGCTCGACTACATTCAGCTACAACCCGTCCGAGCCGATTTTCCGTCTTCCGAATGACTTTAACTACCGCATACCCGTGGCCGATAGCATCGACGATTATCGACACTTTTGCCACACGCTTCCCGAAATTGACTCGCCGGAAATCTTTGGCTTGCATCCGAACGCAGATCTTACATACCGTGTCAAAGAAGTCAACATGCTCCTCACTACGCTTGGAGACACGCAACCAAAGGGTGGAGGCGGTTCGTCTGGAATTTCTCGTGAAGACGTGGTGTGTGACAAAGCCAAGGAACTACTGGACCGCCTGCCAGAAGACTACAATGAAGACGACTACAAGGCAAAGATTATCAAACTTGGTGGACTGACAATTCCGCTTAATATCTTCCTCTTTCAAGAAATTCAGCGCCTGCAACGTGTAATTGCAAAGGTGCGTTCGATGCTGCAATCATTGCAAATGGCGATCCGCGGTGAAGTCGTGATGACGGAGGAACTGAGCTGGACACTGGACGCTATTTTTGACGCTAAGGTACCACCGTCATGGCTTCGCACGTCTGTTGGGGATGAGTTTTCGTGGATCTTACCAACACTTGGTCTTTGGTTCTCCTCGCTCATTTCACGCGACGAACAGAATCGCACGTGGTTGAACACGCGCCGTCCAAATTCATTTTGGCTCACGGGCTTTTTCAATCCACAAGGAATGCTCACAGCTATGAAACAAGAAGTGACGCGAAAGCACTCCAAGACAGACAAGTGGGCACTAGATGACGTTGTCTATCACACGGAAGTCACGTCATTTGAACGTGCTGAACAGGTGCGAACGCCACCTAGTGAAGGAGTTTACATCTACGGTCTATTTATGGACGGTGCTACGTGGAGTAAAGCCGATAGTACGATTGTCGAGTCTGAGCCAAAAAAGCTTTTTACGCCACTGCCCGTTCTACATGTTAACAGTATGTCTAAGGAGTTGGAGACCAAGTCTCGGAAGGAACTTTACGGTGCCGCAGGACCATTCGAGTGTCCGTGTTACAAGTATGCGACCCGTACGGACCGCTACTTTGTCTTCATGGTGACAATGAAGTGTCCGCCAGGTCGTCCACCTCGTCACTGGGGGCTACGTGGGGTCTGTCTGCTCTGTAACACGGAGTAGTTTCAAATTCAAATACACAATCTGTCCAACATACGTATGCATACTGAAGACCTTTAAAGCTTTGACTTAGCTTTCAATATCCATCTTTTGAGTGTTCTTCTTTTTCATAGTCTTCTGTAGTAGCTCTTGATTTGCCTGTACTACAGTATTCTGCAGATGGGCTTGGATAGCGGCGAATGGGTCGCTCTTGAAGCTTGAATGGGTCTGAACGGCCTTTAATTGACCCAACTCGCGTACTGCTAGTTTTTGACGTTGACGGCCACTAAGTGGCTTTTTCTTGGCAGCTTTCATTTGCTTCTTACCATCAATCTGAAATAACGAGCTTTCCAACTCGTTTAAGTCGGTAAACACACCATTTTCATCCTTTTTCGCTTGTCTCTGCTGCTCCTGAGCCACACGCGAGACAATGCCCATCTTGCGCATAAAAGCAGTGCGTCGCTTTAACCGTTTGCGCTGCCCTCGACTTAAACTTTGCGTATCTGCAGGCTCATCGTCAGCTTCTTCATCGACAAACGTAGCTGCATCTTCACCAAAGGTGGCAGCGACGGCCGCGGTGCCTAATGCATCAATCTGTTCCGGTTCATTCTTTTTCGTAGAAGCAGCTTTTGAGCGAGCTGCAACGCCGTGTGAACGTAGTTTTTTGCGCTGCTGACGAGCCATGCTAGTAAGTGAACGAAAGACGGACTACTCTACTTACCAGTCAGCAAGATGGCTACACTCGTATGTTAGAAATATGGCAAGTTTTTATGTCGTGTGTTTCTATCCTGAAAAGCTCATCTTAAAAGCATTTTAAATGTATCAATTCTATATTAAATCCAAGCAGTTTATCAGCTTAGCGTTATGGCCGGAGCAACACTTTGAAGCCAATCGATCGCGACGGACACACGTGCATAGACACCAGGATATCCAGCGCGTCCACATCCGTTGCCCCAGCTCACTACCCCAATCAAAACATCTTCGTCAAAATGTTCCACAATAAGTGGGCCACCCGAGTCACCTTGACACGAATCCATATCAAGTTCACCACCTGCACACAACATTGTGTCATCCACCTCCAAAATCTTACCACATGCAGTAAAATTCATGATAGGTATGTCCACTCGAAGTAGTTCCTTCGACTGTTCACCATTTTGTGAAGTTGCACCCCATCCCATCACTGTCGCATTGCCATTTGTGTCATTGGCTTGTGCGAGAGCAATGGGTGGATATGAACTGGGTTTTTCTAATTCCAGTACCATGAGATCGTATGAATGGGTCTCACTTACGTATTTTGGATGTGGGATCTTGTTCACTACCTTTAATTGCTCGCCATCTTCAGTACCACTGAGGAAATGCGTACCCACTGAGACATATTGAATATCGCCAACTATACAGTGTGCAGCAGTCAAGACATGCATTGGCGTAATGAGTGATCCACCACAAAAGTCGGTACCATTCGCAGTTGGACGCACACCTGTTATATACGTTTTTGTACCTTGAGGGACGACATTTCCGTGTAAAATCAACCAGTCCATATCAATGTAAGCTCTTGATTCCGTCTCCATCCGAAATTGCGAAACATAGTTTTGATAGTTGAGTTTTTTGAGAATATTATCGTCGTTGCTCAATGCAATAATGACATTGGCTGCAACGATAGCTACGATGACAGCAATTTGAAATTCAATGAGGTTCATGGTTTAAGATAAATGTAATAGTGGTAACGATTGAAATTGCTTGAAACATCGCGTTGAAGCATGTAGCAATAGAATCGTGTCTGATGGACAAAAGTATTGTGATTGTGGTAATCAGATTATTGTTATTGTCGACGCCTTGACTCAGACACATATGCTGTCACAGGATTGGTTGAAAATGCATTATTAACAATTGGAAATCATTAGTATGGAGCTCTTTCCGACAATAGTCGATGACAATGAAGTACGCTACTGCTTCATCTTACCCTCGTCAGCATCTACAAGGACCCAAGACGAGCTTTTGGAGGAAGCACGACAGCAGTGTAGCGTTATTTTAGCCTATGCAGCTCAACAGACACATGGATTTATCTGGCACAAACATCGCTTTCACCTTGATGTTGTTTTGACCAGCAGCAATCGTCCAATTTTATCAGGTCGGACCAATGTTGGCGATGCCATACAAGACGAGTGGGTCATAGCTAAGCTTGTGTTTGACATCACTCGCACGTTCCCAGGTGTCGTTGGACGAGTTTTTGACTCCGATGGGGAATTTCTACTTATTGAAAGCGCCGAAGCTCTACCTGATTGGGTTACACCCGAGACTAGTGACCGGCGAACATTTGTGGTCGATGGGAAGCTCCATCTTGCACCTCTTACAGCTGACACTATTCAACGTAAAGATGCACAATTTTACGACGAAGACGCATTAGTACAAGTGCTCGACCTTCAAGTAAAGACTGAGGCAAGTGGTTCGATACAACGTCTGATCTATCGAAAGCTCGATCAGATACCAACATACATGCATGACAATATTCATCGAGTCAGATGTCTTCTGCCAGAAAAAGTGGCTACAATCATTTCAAGCAATCATGAATTGGTAGGAGCTGCAGTTGAGGCGTTTTACTATCGAGAGCCAAAAGAAGCAGGAGCGATATGGAAAAACATGACATTTTTACAATCGGGAGACGCAGTCGTAGAGATACAAATTAAGTTTTCAAGAGCTCAATATGCTCAACTTAAGCAGCAGCGTTTCTATCCACCAAAGGCGTTTCTACAATTTAGTACACGCTATGGTATCCTTGAGGCAAAACATCAAGAAACGATCCATCCAGACAATCAAGCAGCGGATCTTGGGATGAAACTTGCTTGTGGTCTTGAGCTTCTATATGCTGGAGACAGCCAAGATCAGTTTCAATGCCCATGGAAGACGGTTATCCAGAAATTACTACACCAAGCACGAGATACTGAGAAATTTGCTGATCTCCACATTGGACCAGACGATGATGATTCGTGGTTGTATTTGCATCCCGATACGTTAGAACAAAAACTACAACGTGTTGCAGAGACAGATGAAAAAGCTGCGTCTGGTGTGGATGAACTACATAATATGGCTAGTGTATTTCGTAAATTTGTACAGGGTGTGTCGGATATCGAAGGTGTGGAAGGGTACGAACCTGTTCATTTTGATCCCGATGCTTTTATGAAGCTTTTAAGTGCGAATGAAACAAGTGGTAGAGGTGCAGACTTGAGTGCGCCTTGGGGTGAGCACTTTATGGATGAAGACGAGTCCAGTCAAAGTGATAGTGATGATGAAAGTGCGTTGGATGACGTAATGGCTGAAATGGAAGCAGAACTGGCAGGAACCAAAGTCACACAAAGTTTTGAGCACTTATCGATGAAAGATACTCATCAAAATATTTCAACTTGCCAGAAAGAGTCGATTGAAGTTGACGCACCGTCTAATTCGTCGATAAAGCCGCTGGATCTTGACTTTAATTTGGTGTCAAATTTGCTGGAATCCTTAGCATCTCAAGAAGGTCACGCTGGACCTGTGAGCAACATCTTGAGTCAAATGGACTTTCCAAGTAGTTAAGATAATTCTGTTCCGCGACAGCTGACGAGAATGTCTATTGAAGATCTCAACAACAATACACCTCTTTAATGATTGTCAGCACTGGTCGATACATCGTTTGTGGTAGCGTTTGTTGTGTCATTTCTTTTTGAGATAAGACTTGGCATTGAAGAAGCCCCTCCAGGAACCGTATCAACCCCTTGACACCACGAGAGAAGAAAATTTCGGGCTTGAGCTTCTCTGGCTTCAATGACTTCCACTTTCTTCGCCATTTCCTTAACCTTTACAAGCATTCCAATAATAAGCAAAACCATGATCAGCAAGATCATCCCGCACAATAAGCACAATGCGACATACTTTAGCTTCAAGCGCATCCTTCTCGGATTGCATCACTCGTAGCTTTTCTTCTAAAGCAGATACTACACGCTGTGGGTAGATTAAAGGTCTTGGAGACGAATATGTCGGTTCTGTTGTCTCACGCTCATTGTTTTTTCTGCAGAAAAACACCGTCAGTTTATATACCAATATCCTATACAAACATGTACGATCCGTATCTGTCCTTAATGGGAATTCTAGCCCATCAAAGTCATCAGTAAATCGCAACAGAAGCTCGGAGACTTCATTTTAATGTAAGGGGGTTCTTTCCAAAACGCTTCAAGTGTGCTATGTATGAATTTAAGCATACCACCTCGTCGAGCAGACCCCAAATTAAAAAATACATGACGTACCCTTGATGTTGCCGCGGAGAATCATCAATCTCAGTCCCTTCTCCGCCAGCAAAACGTAATTCTTCCATAAAATCATGAACAGCTGAGATTTTGGCCTCTATCACTCGCGACACAGTCAATTGCTGCGCGTGAGAAGCTTCGATGGCTTGTACACGCTTTTGTAGCAACGGTGTTGCTGTCTCCACGTTATGCTTGTGCATGTATAACTCTGTCTCCCGTACTACGAGCTTTTCACGCAGCGAATCGCGTTCGGCCTCAACACAAACCAATTTCTCTTCTAATGCCTTGTTGCGTTGATTGACAGCTTCAAGAAGTTTGCTTTGCTCTTCGCTGTGCATTCTTATTACAGTCTCTTGATGCATAAACTGCTTTTGTTGTTGAGTCTGTGCCCGTGTAAGCATCGCCACGATACGAGCGAGAGATTCTTCAACGCACGGTTGACGCTGAAGGAGCTGTAATACCATGGTCTGGATGCCTACGTGTGTCATCGTACTACTATCGCTGATATTGCTGCTCTCTTGGCTAACATCTGCAAGCCGGTGTCGCTTGAGCCGCTTAGATACACCCGGAAGACAAGCGTCTTTGCTTGTCGCAACCAGTTCCTGCTGATGCATCTGACTGCTGAAACTCGGCTTATTTGTGATGTCTGCCAGCACGGTAACGTGAGCAGAAGTTCGCTGATGTGTATCAGAATCACTCAGCGTATTCTGTGGATTCGTAGTTGACATTGAGATAACAGATGGTCTCTGAACTGACTGAAACAGCTCGGAATCTACGCCAGTAGGTTCAATTTCTGGTTCGAGTGAGTGACAACTCTGCGGCGCCTCTAATATTTCGTCAGGTTGCGTATCTATTTTTCTACAATTTGAGGTAAGGGACTCTTGTGTCTTCGATGGGTGTTGAGGGGCTGACAGTGCGACACGGGCTCCAGATTTGCTCAAGAACGATCGCGTTGGGTATACATGCTCTACAAGAAAATAATGCATGACTTTATCAGCAAAATATGACAACAGCCTTTACACCAAGCTTACGTGTAGCAACTGACTGAGAGAAGGTATTGCTAGGCGGCAAGAATGTCAGCTCTGACTGAGACAATGAGAGCATATGTAGATCATCCAACCACTTGTGCGAGCCGGCATATCCACCAAATATGAGCAACTTTTGAACAGCATTCGGCCCTGCGGGCTCCGAATGCCAGAGAACAGTAGCATGTGCTGTCCGTCCAACAGGATCCTGCAACACATCACTACCTTCTGGTCTTTCTTTCTGAATCTGACGCCACGTTTTCTTGTTAATATGATAAACAAATAGATCATTCTGTCGCACAGCTCGTCGTCGCCCCCCAAAAAGCACAAGATGATCAGGAGCTACATACGTAAGCGAATGATTGATCCGACATGATGGCCGGTCTCCCATAGTTGCACCAGCAAGGGAATCCCATCGATAATGTTTCACATCGTAGAGAAACAAAGATCCAAACTCTTGTTTTCCATCTGTGCCTCCAAATAAAAATAACGTCTTTCCATCTTGACTCGCTGTCAACCCAGCAAACGCTCTCGGTTGTGGTACTTGACCGGTTGGATGAACACTCGGTTTTACCCACTGATTTAATGGTGCATCGTAATAAAAAATATCGTTAAAAAACGTCGTCGACGTCACATCTTTGCCTCCAAACACAAACACTTGATCTCCACCTATAACGACGCTACTATGAGCGTGTCGAGCTCGAGGTTTCCACATACTTAGATGATCTATACGTCGAGTTTCCCACTGTGCTTCAAGCATTGGCTGCTTCACTCTCAATTCTTCAACGCGCAAATGAAGTGTATCAAACGCCATTCCAGAATTTAAAGCACCACTTTCTGTCTGACAACCTCGTCCTTGCATCGAAGTATTTGTAGCAACAAGAACATTACCGATTACCAAAATTCGAGACCCTCGCGTGTTTTCTTCATCTTTTGAGGTTTCGACATAGTGCATGGAATGGTAATCTCTTCCTCCTCCTGGGTGTATGAATGTAGGAGTATGTCTCTCAATACCTATGCCAATCAAATTAGAGCTTTGACTACTATTTCGACCATTAGAAAACGTTGGTGAGTGTAATGAAGGGCTGTCGAGCGTTGTACCACGCGAAATCACGAGCTTTTTCCATTGAATGACATTCTCCGACCTTTCCCGAGATTCCGTAGGAGTTTTACTCGTTAAAGAACCTTCTGATATATTGTTTAAGATATTCAAGCCCGATGGTTCCAGTAAAAACACGTCTTCAAAAAATATTTTGCCGTCTGCACCACCAAAGAGGAGGACGCTGTTGGTGGACGGCAAGATAGTCATGGCGTGACCTGAGCGAGCTGCGGGAGATGGCAATGGATTTAATGAAGATTTAACGAAACAATCAAGTTGTGTCCATATGGGGACGTGAGGAGCGGCAGATACTGCCGACGCGCCCGAGCGATCGGGGCGTCGGAGCTGCATCATAAATGTTATTTTCAAACAGTATTTACCTTAGTAAATCATATGTTTATGTTATGAAAATGACGTTCAGATTAACATTGTATTTGCGGTAGTCAAATACAGGTATAGTAGGCCTATGTGATTAAAGTTCTTATCGCACACTAAGCCAAGCTTTAACTCGGCCAACTGCTTAAACAACCAGCGCTTCTTGGCTTTAATACCAGATATCTAGTAATAGAAGTATTTGTGTCTGGTATATGGACCAAACACCACACAATTTGGATCTAAGATGACTGTCGGCGACGATGTGATTGCTGCAATCTTTAACAGCGATACCTTATTCAAATCTACGCGAAGAGAATTTATATAGCAGATTAAGGTGCTGTGTTATTTCGACATCGAGAAGATGATTTCTTCAATCGCATCAGATGGGGTCTGAATGTGGTGTTCTGCTATCACGTTTTGCACGTCTTTAAAAGGTGCTAGATTTTACGACGTATTAAAGTCAGTCTTTCAGCTGGCGGTACTATATATATACAACGTTGTGCGTTGACACGACTCGCTAAATAGATTACTAATCAGAATGAGAATTATGTTGATGAGGGTTTGGAGGTTCTTTTTCCGAAGACGTGCTCCAGGATAACCGATGAAAGTGAGAGGGGTTCGGTCTGAAGTGCGATGTAAATGAAGTATGCATGTTTACATCTTGGTGGAAAAGAGGACCTACAACGTTTGCGACCTTGTCTAATTTGTCTCGATTATCATCGAACAGAATAACAATTTATATATACGATAGTGTGTACGTGGAATGAAATTCAGAAAACCTTGCACCATCACTTTAAACCAGAGTCGTTCTGGCAGACGCCTTCAGCAAACCTTTATTTCTTTCTAACCCGTAAACCGAAATTTTTATCCAAATGTGAATCTACGCAGACTTCTCGGTCTTGCTAGCCTTAAAGTCATATCCTTTGCGTCTTCTTCAAGTTTCATTTGCCCTCATAGCATCGCTTCACCACTCTTGTGCACTTATCTCAGCTTGGCGGAAGAAAGTTTGATACGTATTTACATATCAGACTTTCCGCCGAAAACGCTGGGCTATTTTACTTTCGTTGCTAATAACGAAGTGTGACAGCTGCAAGCCGGTGCCAAGTGGTGCTCAATTTTTTGCTGATTCGGCAGTAGTACCAGCGACCAGATCAAACAAATCACATGAACAAAACAGTTTGCACCTATCGACTTTTTCAAGGCCGGCGACAGTTGTACAAGAACATATCACCCTTCGTCATCGAGGGTCGAAGTATTCGTTGTAATGTAACATTTGGCTCCGTTAAAGTCATGGTGCGCCAAACTAAGAAATGGTATTATATTACCACGGTACTAGACCCAGAAGTACTGACGTTTGCTCTAGAAAGAAGTAAGCGGGAAAGTAACAACGAAAATCCCATAAGATTACAAACCAATCGTGTCAGAGACTATTCTACGAACGCTTTAGGACCTACACTAACGTTCTTAGGAGATGCCTGGATTCATTAAGCACATCCCATGAAATGCTCTACCGAATGTGGCGCTCTAGGCACATTTCTTAATCGCTTGTCAAACACATTTCTCGAGGATCAATCAAGAGTGACAAGACATTATTATACAATTCCCGTGTTGGCCGACAAGGCAAATTTTCTAAGCTTAGAGCTGATTTAGTGCCTCACCGCGTTCCGCCTCTCCGAAGTCGAAACGGTGTTGCTTTTAAGCTTCTGTGATGGAATATTATACACTTTCTGTATGGATTGAAGATCCCTCCGCTACTCGAAGCGGGTAGCAATCAAACGCTTTGCAATTTTGCTGGCGGTGAAGTCGGTTTCATGTAAATAAAGTGGCCCTAGCTCGAAGAGCTCGAATGCTTGTATGCACAAAGGAAGTAACCACCTTTAATAATGCCATTAGCGACAAGCTATACAGTGGCATGCTTCTAATTGGAGTGATTGACGAAAGCCGCTCGACGTGCCACGACGCAGCCCTTGAACAA